ATTTCTACTGAAAGGTACAGACATTTGTACTCTAAAAATGTAACCACTTCTTTCTAATTTTGTGATTTTCTTTCAATGCTTATCTCTAAAATATTATGTTCTCCATTTTAGGATTTGTAAAATACTAGATAGCCCATGACCTATTGGTCATCCTTTCAGAGATATTTTCTTACCAAATTCCTGAATGCTTCAACAATAACAGAGGTTTTAATGTACTGCCTTCACTGAAAAAGCTGGGATGCATTCATAGATATATTTGCCTTGAAAATAGCTCATGTTTAACTGTCAGTTAAACATCAGCATAGTCAAACATCAGCACAGGAAATGTTTTCTAACATTTTGTAGTAAGCCATAAAATGAGATGGCTACATGTGAGTTCTTGTGCAAAGAATTGGACTATACCATCAAGCATGGAATGCTATGGATATATCAACCACCTAGCTTCCTGGCAGCAATCTGCTACAAGCTCCAGGATTTGCTCAGGGCTAGAATTAGAGTTTATGAGCTTCAGTCTTGAATAACCTCATCTCAGTTTTACTGCATAAATCTATAGCACACAAGTTATTTTGCAATAACACGCAGCACACGAAAACAGATATTGATATATCTGCATTGTTTTTATCTAAAAGCTTTAGACTCTGCTTTTAAAAAAAAAACAGAATGTGTAGGATAGATCAAAAAGCTATGGGGAATTTACAACCCTTCCTTTCACTTAATAAAGTTTTTTTTAAAAAGGAAGGAAATATTTCCTAAGGAAAAAAGAGCTTTTCTCAAAAGAAAACTTTTAGATACTAAATCTCTATACAAAAGGGTACTTAGTACAATATTGATATGACAAAGAATTCATTCTAGGGCTGAGATTTTAAAGTTTGTTAAACCTATCCAAGCCTTTCAAATCATAGCAGATAGAAAAATATTTGTTCCCATTTCTGCTTTCAATTTAAAAGCATTCAAAGTTCCCTGACCTTGCTGATCATCATGACAATGTAACTTCATTTTAAAATACGTTTTCTCTTTTTATGAGAAACTCAGTGCTTACATTCTGTATACTTTCAAGAAGATGAAGCCAAATTCAAATATTTACACAGACACTAATATTCTCCGTAAGAATGCTACATAGGATAGTATATTTTTCCAAAGTACTCATGTATCAAAAGCTTTCTGAATGTTTAAAAACAAAAAGGTATATCTTTTCAAGTATGCCTAGAGAACAGCAACATGTCCTCTTCTCTAAAGATGATTCAAAGAATTCATACATTCTAATGCCAATTAACTGCAGCAATTAATTCCCTGATAATTTTTTTCTCTGAAAAGTGTATGGTTTTATTGAACAGTTTCAAATATAAAATCTGCAATGTTGACTAAAAACAATTTTCTCTTTGAGGTAAACAATGGGCATTGGAAACCTCATCTGTGGACCTAATTCAGACCATAGGTAAACAGGTAGGTAGATAGGGAGAGGGAGAGAGATCACTTTTAAGCAGTTTTGAGAATCCCAATTTCCTTTCTCAAGTGTTCCATACTGCTCTCCCTGAATTCCTAGTTCTGATCCATTCTCTACAGATGTATCTGACCTTTTAATTAGAAGCTGTCCCAAGCAAAGTTTTGTAATATCTTACACTGATATTAATTTGGATAGTTTAAGATTTCTGCAATGTAGGGAGAAACAATTCTGAGGGGGAATACTGCTAGAAAATGAAATGCTAATACTTCCTTAAAACCCTCCCCTTGCCCTATGATACAGCTTTAAAATAGTATTTATTGAATTGGATGACATTCAAAAGCTATTTTAAAAGCTTCGGTGCCAGACAGAAGATATTTTTTAAGAAAGAGTGCTGCTGGAGACAGAGTTTCATACAGGATCCCTTTCAAAACTGCCATCCATTATTATCAGTAGCACATGGCAGAGTATGTGAGAAAGCACACTGGGAACTTTATGTCATGTGGAATGAGTATTGCCCAATGCTACTATGAAATCCCAAACAGGGATTTCAAAGTCAATTCAGTTCTCCAGCCAAAAGAAATTTACTAATGCACTGTTCTTATAAAATGCCACATTGCTAGACTACTAGTGATTTATACAATGTTGTGTGTGTCTGTTTAAAAATAATAATAGAATAGCATTAATACTCTAACAATGATAAAGAATAGAAGTTCAAGTTTAATAACATTATGCAACAAAAATAATTAATTACATGATTCTTAAGTGTGTAATACACCTGAAACATTAAATATTTAAATATACATTTAATTTAATCAGAAATACATACAACAGAGAGATGTGTAGAGAGAAAAAACAGCTAGAGTTAGTAAGCATTAGTAATTTCACAGATCTCCCTTAGCCATTTAAGTAGCATATGAAATGCAGATTCCAGTTTAGAACACAGCAAATTTGATCTTATTTTTCTATGTTTTTCAGAAAACAATTTATAAGCACATAAAAGCTTAAAATACAGATTCTGGATCATTAGAAAAAAATAAAAATCTGTAAGCTAGACACCCTTACTTAATGTACTAGCAAACTACTATTTCCTAAGGATGAAAAAGCCAGTGCCTATCTGATTGAATCCCTCTTTTCCTTGTTCGAGGGCCCATATGTTTTCCCAAATGAAATATTCAGCTAGTGTGGGTCAGTGAAGGAAGTTACATGAATTCATAAAAGCATTCTTTCTTAGGATCACCTTCTTTCTGGAGATGCCAAGAATGATGCCTTGGTTGCTTAATTCAGGATGTTCCACATGTTAATTCACAAGATGAATTAGCCAAGATGAATAGCGCTGTCAGATTGAAAATTGGTTCACCATGACAGAAATAGTGAGATACAATAACCTTTATATTTAAAAGAACAATATTCCTATAATACTCTGAAGTATTATTTTCTCCAGTTTTATGCAACAATAATGATATATTGTTTCATGCTTTTATTTCTTATTACACTCTTTCTGATTAGAATTCTTTCACAGATCTATTAAGTAAAACATATTTTCATGGTCTAGCATAGTCCATTTTTCCTTCACTTTCCTACTTATACTAATGTTTACATAAAATACAATGCACATTATCTTTTTTGCACATAATTAACAAAATGACAGATGATGTACATGCACAGTTTTCCTAAGGCTACATTGTTATGAGTTTCAGTTTCATTCTAGTCTATCAAAAAAGCACAATTTTTAAAGCTCCTTTATATTTTATGGATTGGTTGAAAATGTTGAAAAAGTTACTAAATTATTTTTCTGAATGTCATGACACAAACACCATTCTTTCCATATTTGTATCCCAATATCTGACCTACATACATAAGTCACAGAGTTTGTACCATTATGCACATACCGTGTTTCCCCAAAAATAAGACCTGGTCTTATTTTTGTTTTGCCTCCAAAAGAGGCACCAGGTCTTATTTTTAGGGTGTGTCTTTTCCACTCACCTCTCAGCGGCGGCACTGATCAGCCCATCCAGCTGGCCCACTTCTTCTGCGGCTGAAGCAGCAGCTTTATTCTGCAGCTGAGAATGGAGCTCCGGCCTGTATTTCACAGTCAGAGGCCTTCCCGGAGGGCCTCTGATTGTGAAATGCAGGCAAGGAGACACGGCAGAAGAAGTGGGATGGTGAGGAGAGGCAGGTAGCTGGATGTGGGGTACTTGGGGTAACTCTACCCCCACCCCCGTCTTAGCTTGATTTTTAGCCATGTGCCTCACCTCAAAAATAGGGCTTATTTGGGGGATAGGGCTTATATTAGGCCCACCCCCAAAAATCAAGCATGGGTTTATTTTCTGGGTAGGTCTTACTTTTGGGGAAACACGGTATAATCTCTTTCCTCATTCTCCTCCTTCTGCAGACACCAGTGGTTTTTTGTACATAGGATGTCTAAATTTTGCTTGTACATTTGCTTGCGTATGTACGTATGTGAGTTTATATAAACTAAGTAAAAAAAGATTTTAGGCTCAACTAAAAAGATGCCCTGAATAATAATGTCTGACAGACTTTTTAAAAATGTATTGTTTTTAATAGTAAGAAAACTTAGGATAAGGAAATTGATCTTAAGCGATTCTTTGGTACAACATGTATATATTATCTAACAACTACAAACTTCTGCTTTTATCTATTTTTTTTTACTGAAGTTAATTTATACAAATTTACAGAGCAATTCTAACATATTTACTCAGCAAGAAGTACCTTTCTCTCAAATTAGTATTTAAAAGTGCCTTTTAATCAATAATCAAATCAGCTAATTAAAATAAAAGGTAATTAATCAATTATTATTTCTTTAATTGGCTGTTAATCTTTGCTGTATCTTGACAATTTATCTAATAATGCAAAAAAAATCTTAAATTCTGTGAGAACACTGAATGGTCCTTTAAAAAAATGCATATATTTTAAAGAAAAAGTCAGATAACTCAGAAGGTTGTAACATTCATGCCAGAATTTACATAATCAGCTTTGGACAGCATATTACAAAGTCAGATTTAAAACATATTTTCTTTGAACAGTTGGTCAGAACTGGTACAAAATCTTCTAAATCAAATGATACCATTTAACTTGATTCGGACCCCATTTGTAACAGTACAGTTATGAAAGATTGTGTGTTTACATTGAAAAATAAATAAATACTGCTTCATTAACTGTCTCAAATTTATCATGCACACCTGTTAATATATTTACTAGCAAAATAAATTTTGATACAATGTCTGATACGCTTTGATTAAATACTAATACCATACAAAATTAGCTATTCATGATGTGCACTCTGATTTTATGTACATGTATAGTACTCAAAAGGAACTCCTAGTATGTTAATAGGGGCAAGCTTAGAAATAATTTTCCATGGGAGTGCAGTTTTAAAGTTTGTACATGGTAAGCATCTTTACTACTGACTACCCTATCTGCTTTATTAGGTTTAGTTACTATGAAAGAGCTATTTTATGCAACCAATTATGCTTTTATTTATTAAATTTGTTTGCCGCCCATCTCACTACAATTATTAAACATTTTGATGTAATACCTTGTGCCTGAGCTGCAGAGCTGTGAGAATAACCGAGTGCCAGGAGCGCAGTCTCCACTAGCTGACTAAAAAGCACATCTTTACGAACCAGAACAAACTCTGCATGTTCTTCTCGATTATCATATTCAAGAGAAGTATCCAGTTGTTCCACGACACAAAAGACGGGGATCATCAAACCTGGAGAAAGAAAGATTGTTGAATCCAAATTAGAAACTATGAGAAAAGTTTTTGAATTAGTACAATAATGTATCTTGTTGCAGTTCCATTACCAAGTTACAGGTATGACCACAATTGAGCCCAAATTTTCTGTTGCTAAGTGAGAATGAGTTTTGCCCCATTTTACGATGTTTCTTGCCACAGTTGTTAAGTGAATCACTGCAGTTGTCAGGTCAGTAACACAGTTCTTAAGTGAATCTTTGATCGTCAGAAGGTCACAAAAGGAAACTGCAACCATCATAAATATGAGTCAGTTGCCAAGTGACTGAATTTTGTTCACATGACCATGGGGATGCTGCAATGGTCATAAGTATGAAAAACAGTCATAAGTCATCTTTTTCTGTACTGTTGTAACTTCAAATGAATTGAAGGACTACTTGTACATTTAAGAAAATCAGAAATAGGACATATATTTGTTAAGATTATATCCCATCTCTTCTTTGTGTGCTAAAAGTGGCATACTTAGTTTCTCTTCTCTGGTTTATCCCCACAAGAATAAAACCTGTGAGGTAGGTTAGCCTGAGATTTCCTCAGTGAGTTAAACTTGAGTTCTTGGTTCTACTCTAATACCCTATCACTACCTCCCACTTATACTAAAGTAAATGGTATTTAGGAGTATATTGACTCAGAAGATATTCCATTTAGGTGTTACAAATGAACTCTTCCCAAATTTTCTTGATTGGGAATCGCCCAGAGTTTGGTATAAGATGGGAAGCTATATAAATGTTTTAAATAAATAAACTTTCTTAAATACATTTGAAGTATTTGAAGCCATTTAAAGCCATCTCACTGTTTATTGTTCTGTAATAAATTGAATAATATCACTTTAAAGGCAGGCAGAAATGTTTTATACAAAAATATGAAACAAATAGAAATAACAAAAAACAGTAATGTAATCCCTAACTATAGTGAAATCAAGGCTCAAACTTTTGTGCCTTTTTCTCCCACTTGTGCACTGCCAAACTTTTCTCTTTTGGGTAGGAAAAACCTGTTACCCACTTTTTAAGGATAACAGGTTGGGCTGCTCACTTCTGATCATCCTAAAACTAATTCTCATAAGTCTATTGCAAAAGAGTTCTGAATAATCAAGTAGGTTCAAATGAAAGCATGTGATTATTAAGGATTAATAAACAGATTATACAACAGTCTCTAAAGAAAATAATATCATTGTGAATAATTTAAGATAAATCAAACACATAATAAATCATATTATGAACAATCAACATGGTAGGTCCATTTCATCATGTTCAAATATGTTATTTATTATGCATATTTAATTGTGTAAAGTGCTTTCCAAGCTGGAGAAATTCATCTTCAAAACAATCAGTTTAAATGCTTCTTGTTTTTCTGTTACCTATACAGCAAACTGACACTTTAAAATGAAGCATGGCTGGCACTCATAACCCTACTGTCAGAAATTGTAACTGTCTTTCTGATCAAAAGTCTTCCTTCTGCAAACTTAACATGGGCAACCATGAATAAGTTGCTAAATTTGTAGTAATATCTATGCTTGCAGAAGTCGTTTGGCACCCTCTTTTCATTATTCATTGTTCCAGGTTTGATTTTTCTACATTGTATATCTGTGTGTATTGTTCTGGAACCATAAAAAAGTGAAGAAAGAAGATGACTAGAAGTCCTTAATGGAAAAATTGAAAAATAGGCTAACAGAAAACATGAAAGGAGAAAGAGTAAACAAGATAGAAGAGGAAAAGATCTTCTGAGAATAGGTTGTTTTGAGGAAATATTGTGGGTGCTTTCACAAAATGGCTATTAGTGGGTACCTGCCTATTCATAAAAAGGCTAGTAAAAAGCACAATGTTAATCAAGAATATTTTTCACAGGGTATTCCCCCTGAGTTAATAAAAATGTAAAAGTTATCCTCAGAATTTGAGTCAATTTGAGCATTACCATCTATGCCCATAACATGAAATTTTAATGCCATACTCCAATTTGCGTTCAAAGAAATGCCTGCAATTAAAGCCACTAGTAATTTTTCCCCAAGGAGAGATTTAAATAATGAGTAAGTTACATTTTACAGTTTCACCAACAGTTGCTCAAACCAGGAAGAGAATATTACTGAGATATAATGCTTTAAGAAAATAATTGCTTAGAGTATGCTTGATAGTTCTGATCTATTATTTTTAACAAAAAAGGTAGTTATATAAATGAGGTGTATGTGAACGCTTACTGAATTAATTAAGTAATGTCAAAACTGCTCTCCCAACTGATATACTAAAATATTTGCAAGTAGAATTATAGTGTCTTGTTTATAGAGCCTCTCCTCATTCTACAATCACCAGCAGTATGCTCATAACTAATATTTTAGTATTTATTCCTTTGGAAGAAGTTCATTCCCTCATAAAACAGGAAGGGAGAAAATCACCAAAAAGGCAGTAAGGAAGACACTTCTCTGGGATATAGAGGATATGTCTTATATAATAAATGCTTCAAATACTAAGAACATCCAAATTTTAATAAATGTGATGAGAGCCAGAAAAGTAGCTAATGGATTAAAAAAGAGTAGCAAATATATGTCTAGCTTTCCCATAAAACATAGAATTTATCTGAAAACTGAATATAACAATTTAATAAAAATATGCAAGAATATACTTTTAAAAGAAAGCAATGTTGAAGTTCTGTGTTTTTCTGAGAAATAGTGAATCTCAAAGAGTATTGACCTTTCTTCTCTTTTTGAATCTATGCATATATTTATTTGAAATATTTAAAAGCAGAACGACTCCTAGTAATTGAATCACATCATATAATACTACATAGTAATTTATCTCCAATAAGTGAAAATTTCAAATATCCACAAGCTGTGGTCTACAACCAAAGCAAAATCTTCTGAATTTCTTTAAATCACCAGATTTGAGGATGGCAGACTCATATTCATAACACTACATTATTGTCAATCATTTTGAAGTATAAAGTAAAATAATACATATTCAATTCTTACACTAAAACTTTTTTATTTCGCTAACACAGTTTTATATTTCTTCCAATTATATTAAATCTCAGACTGGTTTAGAATCAATTAAACCTGCAAATATTGACAGTACAAATCACAATAATTAAAACAACCCCGCATCAACCAATATTTAATTAATGATCATCAAAATTAATAAGCAGAATAACTCACAGAATATAACATTCATTATTCTCCAGGTGTTAAATCTAAAACATTAATGTGTACCAAATAAATGTACAGCTAGCCCTCAACTTACAATAGTTCATTTAGAGACCATTCAAACATAAAATATCACTGAAAAAAGTGACTTATGACTATTTTTCACACTTACAACCATTGATTATGTGATCAAAATTCAGACATTTGGCAACTGACTCATATTTATGACAATTGCAGTGTCCTGGGATCACGTGATCCCCTTTTACAACCTTCAATGGAGAAGCCAGGTTTACTTAAAAACCATGTTACTAACTTATCAACTATGTTGATTCACTTAACAACTGTCTCACTTAGCCACGTACATTTTTAGCTCAGTTGTAGTCATAAATTGAGGATTATCTGTATTTGTTCAGGTTTTTTGATATTTTCTGATTCAAATTCAATCTTTGAACTAAATCAAGTTATCTGAAATTGAGTCAGAAAATATCAAGAAATTTGCACAAATAATCATCGCCAATGCTAAAGAGAGAACAAAAGTTGGATTTGTTTTATTTTTATAGGCCTATGGGGACTTTGACTCAAACTGATTTCCTAGCATGCAGAGTATTCATTTTTGCCAATGGAAGCTTCCCCTCCCCAAACTCTGGAATTCTAACATAGTCCCCATCTACCTTCTGATTTTTTGAAAAGTATCTGTTAAATGCTGTTTTATTTAAATTAGAAGAATAGCAAAATAGAAAGCAAAATGTAAACTTTTACTGCCTATTTGTATCTACAAATTTATCTTTAGATAAAGGAACCAGTGGCTATACCCTAATATACTATTAACATGATGTCATCCAGGAAAAAAAGTGAGCATGGAGTGATCAGGAACTATTACAAACAAGGATGGAGTATCGGGGGAGGGTTCTTTTACTATGGTTGGGATACATTGCTTCAGTGTAGGGGTTAAGAAATAGCCTGCATTATGAATACACATAGTTTTCTGAAGAACACTCTATTTTCTGAGGAGGCAGAGATAAATTTATTTAGTTAATTAATTTATTTCTACACAATTAAGAAAACAATAATCTTAAAGATTTTTTAAAAAAAATAAAATATAAACTAAAAATACAAATTAAGAAGGAAAAAAAATCTAGCTTGTATTTTACACTTAATAGTTAATTAAGTGCAAGTGCAGTTACTAATGAACATGAATAATACAAGATTATTATAAGATATTACAAAATCATTGCAATACAGTAGTAACATATATTGCTGCATCACCTTGAGTAACTTGTTGAGCTGGTAAGCCATATAAATTGAATTAACTAATTAATGCTTTGATTAGTAGAAAATATTGCCTTTTCAAAACAGATAAATCAGACATTTTCAACAATCCTTTCTTAATATCTGGAATAATATAATTTCTCAATATTATTCCTTTAGCCACCCCACTCTCTATGCTTAATACAATTTAATAATCTGTATCATAATTTGAGATATACAATCAAATTCTAAAGCTCTGGTATAAAATTCAACATTACAACAACTTTAACATTGATAATCCATAAATTTTTTTATATACATATATGTATTTTTCCAAAAAGATACTAAATGATCTTATGACATCATATAAATTAGTGAACCCTCAAATATTTTACACCTGCAGCATAAAAACAATTTGATGTCTATTCTTTCAAATGCTTTTTGTGGAGAGTCCAATATACATAAAGTATAAGAAAGTAGCTCAGGTCCTTCAAGGCAGCCAAAGGGCCTGATCTGTTACAACATGCTTAAGCTGAAGATACTTTCACCCTTGCGTATTGGAGAAATCACATTTAGTTTGCCATGA